TCAGAAACAGATCTAGATATATATTCTTGACAGACAGCAATAGAAATCAATAGGAAAATAAATTATCTTTTTGGGACACTTGAACAATTAGGATGAAGTTAGAACCTGACTTTACATGTACCCAAAAATAAAAATTGTGGGCAGATTACGAACTTTACAACATTTGCTGTTGTTTGGATGTTGAATGCCTCCCAATGGTCCATCCCCAAAGTAGCATCAGTAAGAAATGGCAGAAACTTCGGGAGAGGCCAACAGGGGTAGGTAGGACCTTAGGCCCCTAGGAGTGGGGCTCCAGGGAAAGTACTTTGTGACCACCAGCTTCCTTCTCCCCGCTCCCTCTGCCTCATGCTCCTGCCATGACTCAATGCCTCACCACAGGCTCAGAGTAATGGGCCCAACTGATAATGCACTGAAACCTCCAAACATATAATTCAAAATTAATCATTTTTATAAATTGACTGTTTTAGGCATTTTGTTATACTACTGGGAAGCTGAGTAAAGCAACATCCACAAGGAAATACAAAATAATATCTTTGTGACTCTGGAGTAAGAATAAACTTCTTATAAACCAAAAGAATTAGCCGGGTGTGGTGGCACACGCCTGTAATCCCAGCACTCGGGAGGCTGAGGCAGGAGGATTGCTGTGAGTTGGAGACCAGCTTGGACTACATAGTGAGTACCAGGTCAGTCTCCACTACATAGTGAGACCCTGTCTCAAAAAACAAACAAACAAGCAAAAACAAACAAACCAACCCTGCAAAAGATCCTTGGGGATTTAGCTCAGTGGCATCCCCCCCTGCCTCACAAGTGCAAGATACCAGTACAAAAAAAATAAATAAAAGCAAACAATCAGTATATTCAACTTTGTATAGAACTACATACAAGTAGCCAAATAAATACTATGTTTAAAGTGAGACGACAAGCCCCATACTGGAAGACATGTTCAACACATCTGAACATTACAGCACTGTTTCTTGTTATTTATCCCTAAACAATATAGTAAACAGCTACTTACTGTATATTAGGTATTACAAATACAGTCATGATTTAAATATATGGGAGGATGTACACAGATTATATGAAAATTCTACGTAAGAGACCGGAGCATTTCTGGGTTTTGGTGCTGTAACCAATCTCCCCAGATTCTGAAGGGCAAATGTAGCTACACTAATCAGAAATGTTGGTTATAGATGAAGGGTACACATATACAGCACCTGAATAAAATAAAACAGAAAACCTAAAACAAAGTCATATGAATCAGGACAACTAAATGACAGAACTGCAAAAGATATTTTTAATCTTGACCTTAACTCTAATAGATAACGTGAAATAAAAAGAAAAGGTCCAAATGGGAAAGGAAAGTAGGAAAGGGGTTAGAGAACTAAATATTGCGTCAAGAATTCAAAGTTGACTTAAATTCTTGGAGATGTGTATGTACTGTGTTCACAGTGAAGACTCAGCAGTGTAAAGATGTCACTTCTCCAGAAATTCATCGGTAGAAATATACATTCCTATCAAAATCACAGCAATACTTTTTGTGTTTACGTACAAGTATATCCAAAGATTTTATACAGGAAGGAAAAAGTATTAGAATAGTGAAATTTGGAAAAAAGTGAGAAGAGTCACTATATCTGACTTTTAAGAACCATACATACAGAAATTAAGCCCACGTGGTCCTGGAGGAAGGGAAAATACATAAACAAATGGACTAGAATAGAGCCAGAATTATTTGAAAACAATTCAGTGGAAGAAGGTAAAAGTCTTTTTGATCAATTGTAGTGGATTTGAGTATCCATAGGCAAAAACAAACAGCTGGGTGCGGTTTTGCACACCTGTTATCCTGGCATAGGAAGATTGCTGAGAATTCAAGACCAGCCTGGGCTACATAGTGAGTTCCAGGGCAGTCTATCTACATAGTGAAATCCTGTCTCAAAAACAAAGCAATGAACTTTATACTTTGTACTTTTACTTTAATATAAACTCAAAGTGAGTTGGACTTAAATATAAATCACAAAATTTATAAAACCTTAAGAAGAAAACCTTAATGACTTAAGGACTTCATCTAGAATTCTTAAATATGATTAAATAACAACCCATAAATAAAAAGTATTCATGAGCTGGGTGTGGTACTGCATGCCTATAATCCCAGCACTTGGGAGGCTGGTGCAGGAAGATCACTACAAGTTTGAGACTAGCCTGAACTACAAAGTGAGAGAGACCCTGCAACAACAAATAAAGAACAAAAATATTCATGAACCTGACTTTACTAAAACTAAAAATTTTTTGCTCCGTAAACAGCACTGTTGAAAGGGTTGGGGATTTATCTCAGTGGCACCACACCTTCCCTGCAAGTACAAGGTCCCGAGTTCAATCCCCAGAACCAAGGGGGTGGGGTGAGAGCATCAGTAGTCCTTAGAACAGCTAAAATAAAAATGTTGACAATATCAAACACACTGTCAGTAGAATATAAAATTGTAGCTACTCGAACACAGTCTGAATTCCTTTAAAAACTAAATATGTTTATAATATGGTGTAATTTAGCAATCTCATTCAAGGACATACTAGAGAAAACAAGTGAAGTCGACACAAAAACCTAAAAGCAAGGTAACAGTTAAATAAACAGTGGTATACCCATACCATGAAATATTAGTAACAAAAAACATCAATTAAACTGGGCGTGGTGGCGCACACCTGCAATCCCAGCACTTGGGAGGCTGAGGCAGGAGGATCGCTGCGATTTTGAGACCAGCCTGGGCTACATAGTGAGTTCCAGGTTAGTCTCAACTACATAGTGAAACCCTGTCTCAAAAACAGCATCAATTAATAACAGAATAAATTGGATGAAGCCAAAAAGCCAATTTCAAAGGGTCATTTATAATGAAATGATTTAACTTACAAAATAGTCTCAAAATGAGGCTGTATAAACAGAGAACATAGTAATGGTTTCCCCCAAGTCAGCTAGAGAGGAAGGAAGAGGGCAACCATGATTATAAAGGGATAGCATGAAGGAGAGTTGTTTGGTGGTGATGGAACTCTGTTCTGGTAAATTGTTATTTATTCATTTTTTTTGGTACCAGGGATCGAACTTGGGTTATTGCCCTTGTGAGGCAGGCGGTGGCACCACTGAGCTACATCCTCAGCCCATTGGAACTGTTCTATATCCTAACCTTAACGGTGTTGTGAAGCACCAAAGTTCTCTGAAGAAACTATTAATGACACTGCAGACTATCTGATCTCAACTTAGTATAACACTGTGGAGAGAAAGAATGTTGCAAGCATACAGCCAAAGTAATCTCTGGGTTGCATTAAGGCCTTTTAGAAAAATAGCTATTTTATTTTTTTTCCCCCCTTGGCACCAGGATTTGAACTCAGGACCTTGAACTTGCAAGGTAGGTGGTAGCCATTTTACTTTTAACCTTTTTATGTAACCTAATATTTTCCTACTATGTAAACCTCTCAGAATATATTGTTAAGCTGAGTAAGTATTTGGTACAGTCTGATGAAAAGTAGACGATCAGTCTCCATCAACCCTAAAACTAAGAAAGCTATCACATCTGAAACTTAGATTCCCTCACTATGCTACCAAATGCTTCCCATCAATTTATTCTTTGAATGTACAGACTTTGTTGCTCTGTATAAAAGTTCACGTTAACCTCTTTTCCTCTGGATCACATGATTTGAGATAACCTGAACATGTTCTTGATCCTTGTCACTCACATTTAACCAAGAATATCTGATTTTCTTGTGTCCTTTAAAGCAGAGGTGTTATTTTGTATCAACAGTGGCCACATGAATCTACACACACAATGTGGCACAGCTACAGGAACCATTGTAACAATGTCAATTTCCTGTTTTGGGTACTGTATTATAGTTATGTAAGACATAGCACTGGGTAAAATGGGGTGCATAGGACCTGTCTGCAACTTTCTGTGAATCTATAATTATTCCAAAAATAAAATTTTTAGTGTTTTAAAAATACTAAATGAACTCACTTTTTCTTAGTGTTCTCTTAACGTATACCACCTTATCCTTATGATACAGATGAACAAACTGAAATCAGAGTGCAGTTAAATTGGCCAAGGTCACATTAGTAGAACTAACCACTGTCCAGGTCCTGTACTACTTACTGAACTTTATAAAAGTATCTTAGAGCAGGGGATTTAGCTCAGTGGTTCTGCCACCTGCCTCGCAAGCACAAGGGCCCAAGTTTGATCCCTGGTAAAATGAATGAATGAATGAATTAATTAATGAAAAGTATCTTAGAAAAAGATCATCATAGGTTATACCATTAGTCCAAAAATTCAAAAAGAATTCCATTTGTGTTTGGCTGTGACTTTGACCTAATTTAATTTAAACACAAGTATGGTAATACTAACCTAACAGTCCTTTCTTACCCATAAATTCAGTGTGAAATCCTTCCATGACTAAAAACTTGTGATGTCTTTACACAAATCAGTAGAGAACAACATCTAGAACATGTCTTGCAAAAAACCCTGATCGATTAAAACCTAAGTAAGAAAAAAAATTTTTTTTTTCTAATATGGGCAGAACCTTTGACCTTTCCACCAGTTTTTTTCTTTTTTTTCTTTTTTTGGTACCAGGGATTGAACTTGGGGCCTTGTGCTTATGAGGAAGGCAGCAGCACCACTAGGCTAAATCCCTGGCCATACCACTGTGGTAATGGTCACAATTACTTCTATTTGTTATTTAGTTAGGCTGAAAATTTTAAAATACTGTAACTTCAAGTTTATTTTCAAATGTCACCTTTGATGAAGCTTACACCCCCACCACCTTCCTGTATGCTTCATCATATGCCAGTCTAATTCTTTACTGCTTCGCTTTCATCATCCTTTTACTTCATGTACTTAGGCCTGTCTAGCTATACCAAATAGAACATATATTCAGTTCACTTATACTACAAAGCACCTAGAAATGTGCCTAGATCACAGTGCTCAACGAGTTATCTGTGGACAAATGAACTTCCTTAGCAATCCTCATACCTTGTCATCCACAATTCCACCATGGAGAAACTGTACTTCAGCACCAAAAGACATGTATAACTACAGGATGTACTAGGCATGAATGCAACTTAAGATAATGAGGAACTGGCTGGGACAGTCCAATATCTGTTCCCATGCCCTCAGAAACAGGATGTTCTTCAATGCTTTAGCTCAGCGACTCATGCTGACCCTGGGTTCCAGGCTGCTTAGATGGGTCTTCACCTGCAGTGCACAGACAAGATTTCATATCCCCCTGGGCAGCTTTCCTAAACCTTGAGGGAATGGTCTGCAATAAATCCTCAGGTGACACTTGATACCTACCTGCTTCGTGCAACTAGTTATATGTGAGGGTTCTGTCTCACTGGACTTAGACAAGTGATAAAAATGCAGTGGTGGGCTGAAATAGTGTCCAGCATAATAAACCTGTTTTGCAATATGAAACCTAAAGGACTTTACAATATCAGACAAAGAAGACTTCAGAATAAGGTCTCAAACAGAGAATGCTGAATAATGGTAAAGGGGACAACTCTTCAAGACAACACAATCCTAAATACATATGTACTTAGCAACACTTCACAAAAAATAACAACAAACGATGCAGGTAAAAAGAAGGAAAATCTAAATTATTGTAAAGATTACAACTCTCCACCCAATAATCAATAAAATAGTCCACAGAAAATCAGTAAGATTATAGAAGATCTGAACAAAAGTATCAACTACATAAACTGACACTTTAAGAACACTACATATCAACTACATAAACTGACATTTTAAGAACATTCAATGTCATTAGAATGTGCGTTCGAGGACAACATATACTGAGAAATAAACATTTTTTAAAAACACTAAAAATGGAGTGCTATAGAGTGAGTTCAAGCACACCCTGTACTACAGTGAGACCTTGTCAAAATAAAAAGATGTTCCACAATCAAAATGAGAAAATCCCCACATAATTGAAAGTTAAACAATGTATCTTCACATATCTCATGTTGTTAGGAAGTTTTAGCTGGGCATGGTAGCATATACCTATAACACCAACACTCTGGAGGCAAGTAAGAGGACCATTAGTTTTAGGCCAGCCTAGGGTATGGAGTGAGATCCCGTCTCAATCTCAGCCCCCTTAAAATGCGCCAATTCACTTTCACAGAAAAAATAAAGAAAACTGAAAAACAAAGGAAAAATTAAATCAATGAAACCAAAGTTGACTCTTGACAAAAGTCAAAAATTAAAAGCCAAGAAAAACTACCAAAATCAGAGAAAGAGAGACCATTTCTCACCTCCAATGAAACATTAAGGGGGCCATTCTTACCACTACTATTCAAAGGTGTTTCAGTGAGTGCAAAAAGGCAAATGATACAGTGAAAACTGGGAAAGAAAATGGTATATTCATAAAGAAAGGGAGTTATTAGGAACTTGATTAAATGGCTGTATCGTCCAAAACCAGATATAGCAACCAAAACCCCTAAGGCAGGAAAAAAAAGAGAGAGAGAGAAAGAAAACCTGAATAGCTCTATATCAATTAAAGGAAATGAAATTTGTCTAAGCATGCAAGCCTGGGCTACACAGCCAAATTCAAAGTCATCTTGAACTACAAAGAAAAAAGAAAAAAGTGACTTGTCATTTAAAACCTGCACTCAAACAAAAATCTAGACCAAAGGGGCTCTACTGGTGAGTGCTGTTAAACATTTAAAGAAGGTAAAACCATCCCTAGACAAACTCTATTAGAATACAGAGAAGGGAGGGGATGTAACTCAGTGTTGGAGCATTTGCCTTACTTGTGTGATATTCTGTGTTTAATCCCTAGACCACACACACACAAAAGGGAACAAACACTTCCCGCCTTATTTTATGAGGCCAGTATTATTATCCTGAGACTAAAATTAGATACAATCATTATAAGGAAAAATTAGATACCTATATAACTCATAAACAAAGATTAACAAATCATTCACAAAATATTAGAAATCCAAGCACACACACAAAAAAGAATAATATATCAAGATCAAGTGGAGTTTATTCCAGAAATACAAGGTTTGTTGAACAACATAAAGGAAAAAGCCAAGTATGGTCATATCAGTGTATCTAGGGGAAAAAAATCTTATCTATGATTAACTTTCACCAATCTAGGAATGGAAAAAACCTTGTAAGGTTGAAGAAACCCTATCTCTGAAAAATCTACAGCTACCACTTAATTATGAAACACTGAGGGTGTCCACTCCTATTCAAAGCCGGTTTTCTTTTGTTTTGTTTTTAGTGAGTACAAAAAGGCAAGACATGCAATGAAAACAGCACGGTAAGGAAGAAATAAAACTTTATTCAAAGCTAATGTGACTATGTAGAAAGTCGTAAAGTATACACCACACACTTAAAACAGGGATAATTTAAACAAAATAGAAAAAAAAAAAGAAATATGTTCAACTGTACAGTAAAACCAAACAAAACCTAAAGATCAAGTCTAAAAAGATATTTAAAATATTCCTAGATGGGAAAACTCAATATGGTTGCAATGTCCCTTTTTCCTAAATTGATCTACAGACAATGTAATGCCAATTAAAATCCAAGAAAGTTTTTTTGCAAAAACTGACAAACTGATTCTAAAGTTGGTATGAAACCACTTCTGGCTGTGCCTCTTTCCTGTACTGTGCACTTTCTCATTCAGTTTTCATTAGCCAACAAGCTAAGCACAGACTGTGGGAACCGAATTTTATGATCAAGGTGGGTTCCTTCTTTGCCCTTTGCCCAGAATGTAGAGGCCGGGTTTTCTGAGTGGAGAGCAAAAAGAAAATCCATTTTGTATATAAACCTTCCTGATCTTCTGTTCCTTTGTTCAATCTACCCCCTCCCCAATAGTTGCTTAAGCTTGCAAAATAGGGTAAGTTAGAGATAAGTTGAACAAGAGAAACCGCATGCTTTGTACAGAGGGGATTTTTATTGCCTGTTTAACCACACAGGATGTGCATTATGCAAAGTACCTATTCAAGAGGTGGAAAGTACCTACTCAAGATGTTTTCTGTAGAAAAGGATACACTGGTCTTTCTCTGCATTAGTCTCCTCCCCAGCTTGTTATAATTATCTCCCCTCTGTTGCAAGTGCCCCAGCAACATCCAATAAAAGTCAAAGTAATAAGTACCAATAGGAGAGGAAGAATTTCAAGCCACCCTAACCCTATATAATCATGCTTTGATAGTAGGAGGGGGCTCTTGTGTCTGATCCGCTTGGTTGGTGAAGTACGAGGGTCCTGGCTCGAGCTTGCAATAAACTCCTTGTGCATTTACATCGGACTCAACTCCTTGGAGGTCTTTGGGGACTTCGTAACTTGGGCACAACATTTGGGGGCTCATCCAGGATCCCCAAAGCCCCCAGGATTCACCCCAGAGATTGGCTGGCAGTTTATGTAAATGTGTTATTTTGTCTTCTTTTTCTCTTTGTGTCTGATCTCACTAGAAAGTCGATGCCAAGCAGGACCACGACGGATACGTTATACTGTGCCTAATGGGCTGGGGTCTTGGAGATGTTCCAGACCTGAGTGGGGATGGAGAGCCCTACATTTGAGTCTGAGTGGGGACATAGAGTTCCACACCTGAAAAGGCAGAATGGGTCGCTCACATGGTTCGGCGCTAGGCTGCTGCCTTGTTTTTATTTTTGGATCCGTTTGGTATTTTTGTTCTTTTCTGTTTTGTGTGGACAAAGACAGACGTGACTGAAAATGGGACAGTCCCAAACTACTCCGCTCTCCCTGATAATTGAACATTTTAAAGAAGTGAAGGCACAAGCCCACAATTTGTCTGTAGAGGTAAAGAAAGGGAAATATCAGACTTGTGATTCTGAATGGTCTACTTTGGGAGTGGGATAGCCATTAGGTGGCACTCTAGATTTAAAGATCATTCAGAAGGTGAAAAAGATCATCTTTTAGAGTCATCCGGATCAGGTTCCTTATACAGTTGGGAAGACTTGATCTTGACCCTTCCCCCTCCTTGATTATTGTCTTTTCTCACTCTTCAGCAGTTGACTCCTGTTCTGGTCTTCAAAATGGAAGAAAATCCTTGGAAATCTGCTACAAAGCCAAGTGCCCCAAACTACCCTCCTTTACCTTTACAGGGGGAAACAGATCCAGAATTAATCTTTCCTTGTCCCCCTCCTCCCTATCACCCACCCCAAGCCCAGACCCAGACCCAGCTCCTGTTCCAGAGGAGGACGCTGCTGCTGCTATACCCAATCCACAACCTCCCAGCGGACGCACCCTAAACACTAGACAACGGCAGGCATGTATCCCCACCGGGTCTAGCTGATTCCACAGTCCTGCCATTAAGGGAGGCAGGAACCCCAGATGAACAAGGCAATCAGCCTATGCATTATTGGCCTTTTGTAACTAGTGATTTGTTCAAACGGCAGACACAGAATGCAAAATTTTCTAATAATTCTAGAGATTTAATTGATTTATTAGAAACTGTGCTCTTTATTCACCAGCCTACCTAGGATGATTGTCAGCAGTTACTTCGTGTTTTATTTACTACTGCAGAAACAGAAAAATTTTTGATTGAATCTAGGAAATTGGTTCCTGGAGAAAATGGAGAACCAACGATAAATCCAGATTTTTTAACCAAGCTTTTCCTCTGTCTAGATCTGATTGGGACCATAATACAGCAGAAGGTAAGGAGCGACTCCAGGTTTATCACCAGACTCTATTGGGGGTGGGGGTCTCCATGTGGTTACCAAAAGGCCCACCAATTTGTCTAAGGTAGGCAGTGTGCAACAAGGACAAGATGAAAGCCATGCCGCCTTTCTGGAAAGGATCCAGGAGGCCTTTTGCAGGTATACTCCTATGGACCCAGAGGCCCCAGAATCCAGGGCAGCAATAACGGCTTTCATTAACCAGGATGCCCCTGACATTAAAAGGAAACTTCAGAAGATAGGGAGATTAGGTGAAAAAAGTGTACAGGATTTGGTGGTCATTGCAGAAAGAGCCTACAACAACAGGGAGTTAACTGAAGACCGCCAGAGCCACAAATTGGCTCGAGTCTTAGCGGCAAACACCATAGGAAAACGTGAAGAAC